CCCCCCCCCCCCCACACAAGAGCACCCCCAACAGCATTCAGAAGCCCGTCCCCCAGCATGGCCGTGCTTCCTTATCGACAGGTCTAACCCCGACACGCCGTGTTCAGAAAGTTCAGAGGAGGGGTCTTACTCTGATCGCCTCCGCGCCTCTACTCCGTCAGGCAGGAAGAGCTTAACGGTGGACACGATACATCCATGGGTGACTGGAAAGAAAGGAGAGACAGGGATCAGGCAAAGCAGCCCAACAAGCCACAGCTACGACACTATGCAAACGAGGCACTTCCGCACCCCGTCACCTACGCTTTACACATTCACATGGCCTCTAACATTTCTTCACCTCCAACTTATCTAGTTCACAAGACGCAACTTCCTCCAAATGTTTTTTGTGTCACCGAAAGTTTCTGCTAAATCTTACTCTTCAGACAAATGACAGAGGAAAAGATTATGACTGCGAAGGCGTGAGTGATGAAGGCGCCCTTAATCCTGACAGCATATGAATATCAAACGTCATCTGTAACAGGAGCAGGGAGCCCTTTCACAACGCCGCCACCAGAACGGCTGCTCACCACTGCTCTGGCCTGTGCTCCCCCCACAAAGCCACTTACAAATGAGGAAACTTGGCTCGCTTTTGCAGTAATCTTCAGTTATGTCAATTAATTCAACCTGCGCTTATTACGACATTTCCAGGGCTGCGCCGGACTGAAAAGACAACTTCCCCGTGAAAATGAGTGGCAGCAAAAGTGCTTTTAAAGGCACTTATGTTAGTGCTACCAGCTGTAACGACGTCCTCAATTTAGTAAAAGAAAAAGAAAAAACAGCATTAAGTCACCGTTTGACATTGAAAGCAACAGAGGAAAATTTGTCACCACTAAAGACATGGAGGGAGAAAAGCCCCCAAAGACCCCTTGAGGCTCCGAGGGACAGCACAGTGACACGCCCCATACCTTTGCGGGTGTTCTCAGTCACGTCCACCCCGAACTGGATGATGTCGCCTGAGAGCAGTTCGCAGGGGGGGCTCTCCTCAGACCCGCGGCTCAGGCGCTGGCTGTTGATGAAGGTGCCATTGCTACTCTTGGTGTCCTGGAGATAAAACTGCAAGCACATGTAGTGTATCAGATATTGACACATTTAGTTGCACAACCAGTTCTTTACCATCTAAAATAAGCCAGGTTAACGCCCCAACTACCCAAAAGTACAAGTCTTTACAATGACATTTGTTCAATGTAGGACTACAGAAATGGTTCCTGGTCTTAGAGGAATGCCATATGAGAAGAGGTTAGCAGAGCTCAAACCGTTCAGCCTCCAGCAAAGGCGATTACGGGGGGAACATGATCCAGGTATATAAGCAAATAGTTACTTCAATATTCGTAGCCCTAGGTAGAAATTAGGAAAACTGGAAGCACAATGTGTAGTTAGCGAATGCAAGTCTTCCTGTTGTGCAAGCTAAAACCTTGGGTGCCTTTAAATCAGAGCTAGATAAGATTAACAACTTTCAGCTATGAACTGAATTCTCTCCAAACAAGCCTGATGGATCAAATGGCCTCCTCTAGTTTGTAAAGTTCTCATTTCTGGGATGCAGGTATCTAAACTAGCTCCAATGCCCCTTAACAATACGTAACAGATTCAAAGACAGCTGCTGGTAATAAAGGGAGAACTGGATGTCACCTCTCCAGTGATAACACCCCTGCTGGAAGGGTCCCATACACAGCAGGGGGGCCTGGTAGAACATATTATGTGCCACCAGTGAGCAGTGACTCACTATAGCCACCACTGGCCATCTGCTTTAACCACAGCCCAATGCAATACGTGTGCCCACTCTGCTAACTTCGCGTCTACTGCGGTCATCAAAGCAACATTCAAAACTTCCAGCAAACAGACCAGAGCTTTTCTTGGGAAGGTATATACTGTGCTGCCATTCTTGAGAGCTGCAACTCAAAGTTACTCATTTCTCAGCTCAAAGAAGCTCCCTGCTTTGACGTTAGCTTTTAAATTTGACCCTCTGCATTACAAAAAGACCCTACTAATAACAGGATTTCACGTTTAAGAATTTGAAGCCTAAAGGCCACCAAACTGGGCAATAGAATGAGTAGAATCAGGAATTAAAATGAAAAGCATTGCCTGGAAACTCAGCCATCCTGGCAGCTCTGATAAAGGAGAGTGTAAAATACAGTCATTTAACCATTTCATATTCCAAGAGTGTGCGTGTGTCCCTCGCATACTTCCTCTACACTGCAAATCAACACAGCAGAACTGATAACCTGAGATTTACAGATAAGCCCGTATTTGCAGGCAGGAGCCAGCGGGGGGCACCATATCGATCCTCTTCTGTACCAGCTGACAGGACCTTTTTTGAGCTATCTGCAGCACGGCACCTGGCGCCGCCGTTTGAAGAGTCACCATGCAGAGTCGCGTGATCGCGGGGTGGTGTCAGGCTTCACCCACAACACAGTGCCTGCACAAACCACATTAGAGTTCGGGAGGAAACAGACAGTGGTGGAAAGGGAGGCAGCCTGGCTAATCGCAGCGCCTCAAGGCTTTCATCTTAAAGCAAGCGGTTCACAAAGGTGTAGGTGCGACTCCTGCCGGTGTCAGCTTTCCCTGCACACAGAGGGAATCTCAAACACACCACAAGGTCGATGTCTTTGGGGAGGCAGGGGTGGCGATCGCCGTGCCCTGTAACACACACTACATACAAACCCCCAGCCAGCCGAGAGAGCAGAAAAGGGCAAACCAAGATGATTGCATAGATGCATTGCAGATGCTGCAACATCGATGCTGCTCCCATTTTACAGCAACAAAGCCCAGAAGTTTGTTACAGTTAAATTAAACACTTCTACACAACCAATGAAGCCTAGACTTTGTCACTGCAGCCACTGCCCTATGAAAAGTTAAATGCTGCAGAGATTAATTCAAACATCTTATTTTTACACTCAAAAGGCCCTGTTTACATTCAGTCTAACAGCCAGTCTGTGAAAAGAGATGAATTCTGCTGTCCAAAAGCAACCACTAAGCAAGCCAAGGGAACTTAAGCGAACCTGCCAAGAGAAACGGGCAGATCAGCACAAAACCAGTGTGCAAACTGGGCAGGAATCTTTGAAAAAGAACAGTTGTCCTTACCATTAGGAGCTACACCACCAAAAAAAGCCCACAACATGCATCACCTGACTGCACGCCTACCTGCCTAACACCCGCCAAACTGGTTACCCAACGCGACGTGTAATTAATGAATAATGAAGTTCACGATTCTGCAATAACTGCGCTGTATTTTAGGATTAAGCATGAGCCACACAAATAAAAACTTCAAAACGATTTTTTTTCCAACTGACGCTCCTATAAAATATGACCATCCTTAACACGGTATTAGGAGCAGATGACTGGAGAGGCAGAGACAAGCAGCAATAAAGCACCGCTTACAGTTTCACTGAAAGGCCACCAGTGGTCTGAAATAAACAGTGGCATCAAAGCACCCTCTGCTGTTTGGCTCCGCCCATCACAGCCTCAGCTCCTAGGGGTCATGGGGATTACAGCATCCAGGCCAATCCCACCTACCTCGGGTACGTGGACGCGGAACGGCAAGGAAAACCCCTGTAAGCTGCTCGCCGTAATCCAGGAGAAACACAGTCGCCCTGAATTTCTTGACCCATGAAAATATTGCAGCTTGTGAAATACACAGCGTTTTAACGCTATTGATTTTTGCAAACAAGATGTAATTACTCCTGGTCTATGATGACGGTAAATATATTTAAAAAAAAAAAACAACAACATGCTGACTAAAAGCAGGGCAGTATGGCTCATGACTCACCTCCATGTCTAGTAAAACATACGCTCAGCGGCCAGCACAATAACTTCAGAAACATCTGCTGTAATTATTTCCACATTCGCTCTGTGCGACTCCAAATTCCTGCAAAGACACGGCAGCTCCCCAGCTAAACTACAGCAGCTTCTCACCCACTAATGACAGTGAAGACAGGATGGGACTGTGTTTATCTCAATGGGTTACTGATCTGTGCCCATGTCTAGAAGGTCACAGGTTCAAATCCCATGGCTGCCAGAGTAACCACATTAGTGTTAGGCCTGTACTTGCTCCAGGGGCACTGGCTGACCCTGCTGATCCCCACCTGTTCGCTAAATAAATAAATGTTAGTCGGGATGGACAAACAGCAGCGTGATAAATTTAAGTAGGGATTTCAGGTGCAAAACAGCACTAAACAGACCAGCACACCATCAAGTCCAGAAGCTTTAGCCTGCTGAGACTGGGAGACGACGGAGGACGTGATTCTGACAGATTCAACTGCTAGAGCCACCCAAGGTAACTTCTTTACAAAGCTTTATATCAATCCGTAGTTGCAGGATTGCTTTAACCAACTACTCATCGTTAAACATATATAAACAAATATCCAGCAGATTACAGCAGCCAGACAAAGCAAACAGCAACAGTTTGCTCCAAAGTGAACATAAGACAGGCAATGAAGTCAGAGCAGAAGAAATGCATGCCCTTACTCGCCATTTCAAGCATGAGGCCCAGAGAATGAGACCTGCTTAGGCATCATCACAACATGATACAGACTTGGTGCTACATTTCCTGCAGAGCTGGAGAGGTACTACTTACAGCAGCCCTTGTTACAGTGCTGGATGTACACTGGGAGAGAACTAGGCCCGCTAATAAAACAGATACACATTTGTTTCAGTTCCCTTGCCATCTCAGTCTTTGGGTATTATCCCAACAATGTTTACATTTCCCCAATTGTTTTCTCGGCAAGAACTTAACAAAAAAAAACAAAAAAACAAAAAACACAATCCTGGCTACACTGACTGGAAAGACAGTAAGGCAATATTTCCTTAAAGAGAAAAGAAAGAAAAATCCTCAAAATAGCATGCGAACCTTTGGCACAAAAACACAGGACTGTAGTCTGACTCTTCCACAGATGTTACACTGATACTTGCTTTGTAATATAACCTGCTCACCTTTACTACTGGATCCCTGGTGATCCTCCTCAGAAAAGCTCAGTGACCAGCATACAGACAAACCAGGCCACTGCTAAAGATATTTCCAAAGTGTTAAACATCCATAGTGGGGGAAGAGGCATTGTGCAACAGACCAAGCACACATTCTGTGAAGACCTGGCACTCCTCTGTTCGTCTCTTAAATTGCACATGTCTTTTCATGCCCAGAGCATGGTTCAAACTTCTCTCCTAAAAGAAAAACAAAGGACCTCTTTTTATATACGGTACCCATCAGCACTTAAAACTAAACCAGCAGGGGGGTAGGCCTTGCCTGATATGCACGACAATGTACACTACACACAGATAGATCAGATATTTGATGGTCACATATCTATGCAGCTCCTCACCACTGCTTTCACCCCTCAACCAAACTAGTGGTATGCACATAAAATGTTATTTTAAAAGCCCATCTAGCTTGTCTGACCATGCAAGCACATGACCCAGCCGGAAAGGACCCAAGCACAAACTGATGTGACATTAATCACCACATCAGCCAAAAAAGACACAAATTAATACTCCTTTATAGCAGCCATGAAACCCAGCAGCACACAGGCACTCACACGGATATCTGCTTGCACCAAGTGATTAGGATAAGCCATCTTCAGATGGTCAACTGAAGACACCACCAAATGAAGCAACTTAGACTGAAGCAGCCTAAACACAGAGCCGGGATCCTCGGGAGGAGAACCAAAGAGTAGCAAGTGATTCCAAATATGATGAAAGAGGGATCACTTAAAATCAGCCCATCACAACAAGGGCTGTTTGCGAAAGGATGCTTGCCAATGCAAATGTAAGCTGCCAAAGAGCAGAGCACCAGGCTGATATGTCTGCGCTGCTGCCAAAGTCCCTCCTTCCATTGAGCCTGAGGTCAGACCAGCCATAGGACCAAGGTGTAACAACCGACCAGACAACACAGCTTCTAACTTCACCTCCATGACTATCCCAACCCGCATCCACTCCACACATAGATACAAAAAGCAAACTTAAGCACGTTTTTAACTACAGATGTTAAAAAAATAATAATTCATGATACACACCCTAAAGTATAGGGGCAGGAGACAAGACTGACAACATTCAACATAGGTGGC